GCGAGGTCGGTTGATTACCGTCGGCGGAATCACCTCGATCTTGAAATGAACTTTTTTTAGCTGTGGCATGCCCATTTATTAGTACTATCGCGTCCAGCGCGCCCGGTTTTTCAGCATCACTGGTATACCATGGTACCGCACATGCGCGTGCATCACTAGCTAGCACTACGTGTAGAGTCTACACGGCTCTTGCAGGTACAATCATGTTCTGAGTGTCTCAGCCAGAGCAACAAATTGTATTGCTGTTGCAGGCATTTAGTTTGCTGACCCCTCGATGTTTCTCCAAGCGCTGCCACTTGTTCCACGAAGTCATTCTCACCCCAGCTAAGGTAAAACAGTGATGAGGCTTGAGTGAATGGCCATAAGCACGAGAAATGTGCAGGCTGCAACGCCTGACTGATCTCCGCGAGTCGAAATTACCATCGCAGCGACATCAGCGAAGAAATTGCGTCTAGTTCAAAAATTCCAGCTTCCAATAACAGAAAATAGAACTTTACCGTCACCCTATACTGACGACTATCGCCTATATCCCATTCCCTGCCTCTGGTACGAGTGCTGGTGAGTAAATACCCCGTTTTATATCAAAAGTCAAACTGCGACAATTTCGATGACGCGGAGGAAGTAATTCAAACTAAGTTGAACTCGGATGGTGAGCTAATATAGTGGGCAGTTAGTCATAACTCGTAACATGTTGTCCTTCTCCCTTTTTACTTCAAAGTGCTTAGTAGTTATGAATTCAGATGGAGAGCCAAGGTTTAATTTATACAACTTAGAGCCTTCCAAGTTCGAAGGCTGTTGGAGTGCGCATCCAAGATATGCTTTTTTTTAAGAGAACACAAACCTACAAATCATGTTGAAAGACAAAAAGTACATTGGACTGGGTAGGCGCTATCCACAATTCCAGTTAATAGCTGTGCTGATTAAATACATGGACTCTGCCGACCATGGGTCTCGGCATCACAGAACCATGTATGCATCAAAATTAATCCTAAGTTTAAAATGAGCCAACATAAGAAAGTGACTAAAGACAAAAAAATGAAATAAAAAATAAGAATAATAATGTTTCTTCAGAATTCCCAAACTCCATTGCAGCGTATTCCTTGCACTTGAAAACACCGCCATTCCGGCAACAGGCTCTCAGCTTCACCAAATAAATAACTTTGCCAATATTTCGCCCATTGTGCATCATCAGGGCATTGAGGAAGGGGAGGCCAAATTACGAAATATAAAGACGAATAATGCAGGCAGGTGAATGTTCTAGAACTAACACATCGCGGTGACACAATTGGCAAGGCCAGCAAACTAAACAATCATCACTTGTAAGGTGACCTAAACAAAACGAAAGATGAGAAAACTCACACATACACACACAGACACAATTTGGCAAGAAACCTAACACTAACACTAACACTACAGTTTACAATCATCACCTGTAAGGTGACCTAAACAGAAGAAAGAAGACTAGTAAGACTATCACAGCACGTACAAGAACACTTTCAAGTGTGGGGGTGCTAAAGGCGATCTATGTATATGACAGCGGTGCATGTGCAAAGTATGTGTATGTGCTGTGTCAGGTGGTAAAGCTGAGCTGAGCACTACCGAGAGGCAAGGGCGATGGTGGCGAAGGCTCCCTGGGGCTTTCACTATCGTACCCAGCATCGAGAATCTTTAAAGTCTTCCAACTTTCTGCCCTTCCACCAGGCAAAGATTCTCGGCAGGGAGGCTTCACTACCATCAAGGAAACTGCTTGAAGCTATCGAGATAAGGAAGCGCAAACCAGCAGTCAATTGCGATGACGGCTGGCGCCTAATTGACCGATTGGATGTCACCGAATCGTCACTGGAATCAACACCCATCTCTTCGAACTACCACTGGACTTTACCACCTGACACAGCACATACACATAAAAAGAAGATGCATCATGGACAGGTCTGCAGGTGACATAAAGGACAAATTAACTTTCAGAGTGTTCAGCTGTCTAGCGGACAGAGGACCCTTGATGTGTTCCATGAGATGTAGAAGAAACATCAGTGGAAAGCATGATGGAAGAGGTTGTCTAATGCGGCTGCTTCTCAACCATGATACATTACTGCGGGGTAAAGAAGAACGCAGTGTGCGCACTGCATCATGATCCTCATGAAGTATACACGATAATGCTATTGCATAGTTCATGCTTTTATAGCTACTGGCCTTCTTCATTGCTTGCAGTGTCTCTTGAACAGGGTGAACCTGTGCATGCGGTAAAGTGAAGTCGATCTTGTTGAGAAAATGTACAAGATGACGATTCACACCTTGAATGCGATCGGAATCCGTGTAGGTCTTTATGCTAGTACAACGCTCTCTCCACTTTACCTCGGGCATGTAAAATGTCCGCCATTACCAATCCACACTGAGAACAAACTCTATGACCAGCATGCTCAACTTGTTCTTCACGATGATAGCACACTTCTTCACCTTCACTTTCCTCTGTCTTCTTCTTCTTCTTCTTCTTCTTCTTCTTCTTTGCATTGGCCCACAGTGGCATCCGCTTCCTTTTTTCTTTTTCTTTTCTCCTTTTACTTTCTCCGTCACTGCCTAAAAAACAGTCGAGACGGTTTTTTACCCACCAGTTTTTATTGGTGAGAATTACTTTCCTTCTTCTTCTTCTTCTTCTTCTTCTTCTTCTTCTTCTTCTTCTTCTTCTTCTTCTTCTTCTTCTTCTTCTTCTTCTTCTTCTTCTTCTTCTTCTTCTTCTTCTTCTTTTCCTCCAGCGCACATTGCTTCTTTGAACGTACATAAGCATACAGGATCTCAAATTCAGAATCCATTTTCACTGCAACACACTTGAAACTGACTGAGGCACACCTTTTATACTTGCATACCGTATTTTACCGGTTGTAAGTCGACCCCGGTTATAGGTCGACCCCCGTATCCGCAGGTCTCATTTCCGCGTTTTAAAGTTTTCACCCAACGAAGCACTACCAACCACTCCCTGCTACTAACACCTCAACAAATAATGTAAAAATTCCTTATTGGAGGGTATAACGTCCCAATCCTTGAAAACGGCCAATAAACTGGCAAACATGAGTACACATGGTGCACTCATGCATGCAGGGCAGGTCATTTTGTGTAAGATTCTGATAGTTCCCAATTATAAGTCGAATCCTGGTTGTAAGTCGACCCCAACCCTTTCTCCTTCTATTTTTAGTCGTAAAAGGTCGACTTACAACCGGAAAAATACGGTAATCAAAAAAACGTGGAAATCCAAACCATGACGTCATATATACCTTATTGTTTAGGGTAGGGTATAACACCCCTGCCCCCCCCCCCCCAAAGTGAGATTCGAACCCACATGTATATAATACATATTTTCAATAATACCCTTTTTTGGGGCAGGGCGCCCCCTGGCACAGAACCCGCTCGTTACCTACTACTGGTGAGGATGAGTCACCACATGCGTGTGTCCCGGTTCGTGGACGAACCACAGTGGGTGCAGCTGGTGGGACAATGTTGGTCAGCTGCTGTGGGCTTTTGATGCACTGAAGCTTGTACATGTAGCACAGCCCAGAGAGCGAGAGTGTGTCGTGCAGCCAGACTCTGGAGGAGCACATCTGGTCCTATGATGGCCATTGCCTTCCGCTGAATACGGTCGAGCCTGGCCAGATGGGTCGGGGCAGCAGACATCCAGGCCATTGAAGCATACTCCAGCATAGGGCGAATGAATCCTCGGTAGACACTCAGACGGCCATTGGTGTCAAGTATCCTCGCGGCTCGGCGCAAAAGCCCAAGACGTTGACTTGCTCTCACCGCCATGCTGCTGATGTGCTGGCGAAACGAGAGCTTTGAGTCGAACAATATACCCAACAGCTTCAGTGTTGATGCCTGAGCTATGTCGACACCACCAAATGAGATGCCTGGAGTGGCTGGGTCCAAGGATCGTGTGCACAGTAGCTGCTGTGACTTGGATGGCTCAAATGTCACCCACCGACGCTCACCCCACTCTTGAAGGCCATGTAAGGCATCTTGTTAGGAGGCATTGTGGGGAGCAGCAGTTCGGTTGCAACAGGCTGTATAGCGTGGTGTCATCAGCAAAGGAGCTAAGGCGAGTTCCGGGGGTAAGACATTGGTCGATGTCGCTGACGTAGATAAGAAATAGAGTCGGCCCGAGGATACTTCCCTGAGGTACTCCCGCGGTGATAGGCTGAGCAGATGAAGCTTGACCGCTGACCACAACTGTTAGCCAGTTAGTTGTAGAACGTCAGTACCATCGGTCAGTGTCGTGCAATGTTATCGCATGAGCTGATTGTTTTGTAACTGGTGGTGTTAGTGGACAGTATAGTGTAACTTGTAGTTCCTTGCTTAGTAGTTGGTGGTAGTTTTTTCTTGCTTTTATTTTTGTGATGCCTTTTGCTAGGAACCCTAGGTACAGCTAAGACGCATTTATGAGCAGAGCAACTTACTTGAAGTCAATTGATATTATAATTACAAAAATGATACACGTGTATATGTTCAATGTGAATTGTGTGTGTTGTTGGTTTTTGCACAACCCTTTACAGTAATCACATGTCCAGCTGTTCTGCCGTCGATTGCTAATGGTTACTTCAGTACGGTGTCGTCTAGCTTTACGATTGGAGGTACAGCAAACATATTGTGCCTTCCAGGGTATCAGCGAACAGGAGCAGCAGTAATCACCTGTGACAGTAGTGGACAATGGCCTGCCAGTGATTCTCTTCCCTCATGCAAATGTAAGAATCAAACTTGAATCGATCATGTGACATTCCACTTTTCTCAGCCATTGTACCAGTGGTTGTGAGACGTATCCACTCACGCCCACTGTCACGCGCTTCATCTGCCGCTAGGGTTTACCGGGTTTTATAGGCCGTCGTGAGTTCCCTCCTGGAACGGACACGATAATTTCTTTTTTTCACAGCTTCTGCCGAACTCCAAATATGAGCCGCAATCAGCGAAAACGACCCTTAGAGGTTTCGTAATTTTTTCAAGAAAAAGGTCGATTTGTGACGTTCAACGATTTTTTGGATCGCGCTGCAAACAGCGCGACGAGTTCTTCTTGATCTCCTTGCTTGAATTTATTTGAACTTGAAGTTAGTTGAAGTGGTGTCGAGTGGCGACTCGAGTGTTCCTTGATCTTGTTGCGATGGCTGCGGACGCCAGAGCTGTTCGCAGAGCACACGCGGCAGTTATTGTGTACAGCTAGCTCGAGCCTGGTGGGGAGTGGATGCTGAAGTAGCATCTGAAGTTCAGAGTGAGGATGAGACGTTCTTTGGTTCCGACATCGATGTCGACAGCGAGGCGGAATCGCAGCCGTCATCTCGTGCTGCATTGCGGCTCAAGGTGGTCGATGACTCGTCAGAGTCGGAAGATGAGGAGTCATTACCTGAGATAAATTCTGAGTCTGGGGCTAGTGACGGCAGCGACGTCGTGTCGTCAGCTGCGCAGGAAGAAATGGAAGACATTGCGGAACGACTCCACGCAGGAGGCAGCTGCAAATAAGTCGATCATATCTCCGCACTCTTCCGCTATTCTTTGTCATTCTAGCTGCTTACTGCACTATTTCAAGGTATTCAAGCTGCCTACCCACTTTAGAATGCTGAATATTCATTGTACACATACATCGTATACATACATTGCACCAATTTGGAGTACATATTGTATATTGGTGTATACACCCGTTTTGAATCGGAATATTGAACTTTTTCTTGGCTGAGGTCCTTCAGTAGATGTGTTTCAACAAATTTCTAACCAAAAGGAATTTTGAAAATTTTGACCCTAAGGGCTGTTTTCGCTGGTCGAGGCCCATATTGTCACAGCACAGTCAGGAACACAGGCAGGACAGTGGAGTTGTGGCATGCTGGTTGATGGGGAAAGTGATCTGTTCAAGGCCGAATCCAGTTGTCAACCCTTCCTTGTCTTTTAAATTTTTCCAAAAGAACATTTGGAAACACCTACTCCACAAGCATGTATACATTTGTGTTAAATACATCTTTTTGTAGAATAATGGCATACCAGTGCTACACCAGTGTATGTGATTGAACATGCTAGGAGTATGTGTTTGCCGTGTGCACCCCAGTAGGCAGAATGAACACAATGCAAGTACGTGTGTGAGCACTTGTGTGTACATGCGTGTTTTCCGTGTGCGTGTGTGTATGTGCGCGTATGTGTCTGTCTCCGTGCGTGCCTGTGTGTGTCTGTGCGTGCATGCATGTGCGTCTATGAGTGTGTGTGTGTGTGTGTGTGTGTGCGTGCGTGCGTGTGTGTGTGTGTGTGTGTGTGTGTGTGTGTGTGTGTGTGTGTGTGTGTGTGTGTGAATGTGTGTGTGTTTGTTTATGTGTGGAAGTGGAAGTGTAGGGTCTGACAGTCAAATATCACCTACCATCTTTCTTTTGCACAGTAGCACAGTGAGGAAATGTGAAAATTCCAATTCCTGTGACATGCCTAGCTGCATTTCGAAGATGTTTTAGATCTACATACTCTCAGTTAAATGCCGGTCGCCCAGCTCATGACATTTGTCTTGTCCTCTCTTGCTTTGTGTTTTGTTTAGTGATATCCTGCGCTTCACCTAGCCCACCTTCCAATGGTTCAATTGTCAGCAGCTCTACTTCTCCTAATGGTGTGACCATCTTTGCCTGCAATAAAGGCTATAAACTGGCGGGCAGCAGTGTCACTGTATGTTTGCCGAATGGAAATTTATCAAACTCAACACCGACGTGTTCAAGTAAGACTTCATAGCTTGTAGAGAGAGAGAGAGAGAGAGAGAGAGAGAGAGAGAGAGAGAGAGAGAGAGAGAGAGAGAGAGAGAGAGAGAGAGAGAGAGAGAGAGAGAGAGAGAGAGAGAGAGAGAGAGAGAGAGAGAGAGAGAGAGAGAGAGAGAGAGAGAGAGAGAGAGAGAGAGAGAGAGAGAGAGAGAGAAAGAGAGAGAGAGAGAGAGAGAGAGAGATAAAGATACAGAGAGAGAGAGTGTGTGTGTGTGTGTGTGTGTGTGTGAAGAGAGAACCAGAAATATACTCCTGGCATGTGAAGAATATGTCGGTGCACGAAGTAGTCGTTTTGTGTCTACTTTGGCAGTAATAGCATGAAGACTGGACCCTCCCAACAGCCGATCCTTTGCTTTTCCCATTGACTTGACTTTCCATTTGACCAAGACTGTAAGCTAGTGCACACAAGAAATCCATCGAACATTTGACTTGTGCAGACTTCAATAAAGCATTAAAGTCTAATCTATATTCATCATTCGTGATATTCATCCTTATCAGCTGAGCTTGATTAGATTGCGGAAGATGTCTGAAGAGTACCACTAGTATAGTGGTCTCGAGACCAAATAATCTACACCGACGCTGTGTTTCAACTGTGACACACATACCCCTTATTAACACTAGATAGTTGCGTGTGTGTATATCGTTTGTGGATATGCATCACAAGCATTGATGTCGGAGGAAATAGTTTAATCCAATGTGCAATCATCAAAAAACCTCTCTTTATTGCTGTACTTTAACCCTCAATTAATTTATTTTATCTTCCATCCCCATTCAGGAGTCTCTTGTTCACTTTTGACACATCCAAGGAATGGTTCAGTCTCGCCCGGAGATAACAACTTTGAAACAATTCGAAACTATACTTGTAATGACGGGTTCAAGTTGATTGGTTTTGCTGCAACTACATGTCGCTTTAATGGTGTTTGGTCTGCACCTCAGCCAACTTGCCAAAGTAAGTGTCTTGTTATGCAGAGGTCGCGGGTACAATTCCCGATGATAATGATTACGAGCGTCTTTCTTCTCCTTCTCATTCTCCGGGCTTTTCTTGCATTCTGCTGGGTGGTTACCAATAGGCAGTGTATGCCGGAGTATTTGGTGTGGCGTGTGTGTGTCTAAAAAGAATGAGAAAAGGGGAAATGAAAATTGAAAAAATAGGGATTCACTGGCCAGAAATAGCCAGTTCAATCAGCTGTGTGGTGGATACAAGGCTAACATTAGTGGCGGTAAATTCATCAGCCTTGCAAGCTGTTGAATGGTGCAATCCCAGCACAAGTTGCCATGTCTAACATACAGTAACTGTTCGCTCTCATCGCTTCCGCAATGGGCAGGTCTGACATCTGACGTTAGTTCACATTGAAGCTGTCAAGTGTGTTATAGTTGGACATTTCAGTAATTCCTGCTTGAAGCAAATGCTAGGGTTTGCAAATGTTTTCACTCATAAATCATTTTCATGTTTATTCAACGCAACCTTTCCCAAACTAAGTTTGATGAATGCACTTTGGGAGAGCCATGATTCCTTTTGTGTGGAGTAACGTTGATTTCCCAATAATGGTAAGTCACATCCTTCTGTGAGAACCGGACCTATGGGATGGTGAGAAGGCAATCATGCTTGTGAAATAGGTGAAGTAAAATGAAAGTCAACAACAACAACAACATCCCCCAAACCCATTCTTGGTCTATTCTGTAATGAACATACATTCTCGGCAGATTTCAGAGTTCAGCAACTTCAGTAGCTTGCCAACATGAAGTCTAACCTTGCTTATGAACAGACCAACCTACTTGAAGTCAATTGACTTTATGAAATGCATGTACAGTCAACTTCGCTAATAACAACTGCGTATATAACGACAATTCGTGAATAACGACAGAATTCATGTCCAGAGCAAAGTCACATCCAACTGTAATACATATAATGAGACTTGGGGTATAACGACACTTCGCGAATAAAGACACTTTTCTGGTGCCCCGCCGAGTGTCGTTATACGCGAACTTCACTGTGTGTGTACAGTTTCCATCTGATTTGTTTGTGTGTTGTTGGTTTCTGCATAATTTCTTACAGGCATCACATGTCCAGCTGTTCTGCCGTCGATTGCTAATGGTTACATAAGCACGGTACCTTCTAGTTTTACGATTGGAGGTACAGCGAACATATCATGTCTTCCAGGATATCAGCGAACCGGAGCACCAGCATTTACCTGCAACAGTAGTGGACAATGGCCTACCAGTGATTCTCTTCCTTCATGCAAATGTAAGATTAAAAAAATTTGATCGGAAAAGTTACATTTTACTTTTCTGAACAATCCCACCTCCAGCTGACCTCCACACATTGCCATAGCACACCGTCGGCAAGGTGACAAGAGAGTGAAGTTGTGGTGTGGTGATTAATAATAAAATATTTGGCTCAAAGCTGAATGCTGTTGTCTATCTACTCTTCTTGGATCATGTAACATTCTCCAAACCGATTAAAGGAGCACTCCTGGAATTTTTCGGTAGTGTGTTCTCTTCATGGGGGCCTTATATGTCCTCCACGGAATGGGGAATCGCAAAAACTAGACCCAAAAAGTCTACATGTGAAGCCAGTGAGGGCCAAGTTTGTCCTCTCAGCTGATGGATTTAATGACGCCACGTGTGATTACTAATTAGTATTCAAATTCCCTGCATTTGAAGGTGTTAGTTGTGTTGATGATGATTATTAATATTATTATTATTATTATTTATTCTTCTTTTACTAGGGAATTCCCAACAGGCGTCAGCGCCTTTTTACAGGGAACCCTAGGTATAATTTGATGGATGAGCGAAATTCAGCTGGTGAACTAGACATGCGGCAAGCCGGTGGAAGTGTATTCCACCTGGCAGCGCCCAAATAAGAAATTGCACTAAAGCCATATCGGGTGTTAGCGGGGGGCAGAACAAGAGCAGCAGAGACTTGGCCACGGGTGGTGGCTGCAGTGCGAGCACCATGAGCGCGCAAGGTTAAGCGATCTCGCAGAAGAGGACTAGCAAGTCCATTCAGGCAGCGGTAAACAAATACATAGGTTTTGAAGTTGAAGCGTTTCTCAAGATGATGAAGAACGATGTTTGGTCGACCCAAGTTTCACAACACAACTGCGGCCATACTCCAGGGAACCAGCAGTCGAACGCCTGGCAACAAAGTCAGTTGTGGTCTCTCTCTGGCCACAGTGCATCTCATATCATGTACATGTACTATTATCCGGATGTGCAAAATGGAGGAGATCAACATCCTCGCAACCCGTGCCAGGTGGCGTCTATTTGGTCATGTCTTACGGCTGCCACCATCAACCCCAGTAACCTGGGCAGCTCTAACCAAAGAAGGGTAGGGAGAGTAGCACTCTCCCACTCTCACTGAGCGCCCCCTCCCCCTCCCTACTCTATTGTCCATTTTGTGGTTTTTCACGTCATTCAATAGTCAGAAGTCAATACTAGATGATTCATATAGGTTCATTTGTTTGGGGTTAAGTCGAGGAATCCCCACGTCCGCTGCATTTTGCCTGGCAGGACAATTTATGGAATTGGACATATGGGTATCGGGTAACTTTTTTCCATGCCCCCCCCCCCCTTTCCCCTAATATTTTGACTAGAACCCTGGTGTACTGTCTAGCTATAAACAGTAATCTACCATATTCTCACACACAGTGGCATGGTGAGGGAAAATCTTACTTTCAATGTGAGATCCCTACCTGTAGGAATATGCATTTTAAAGATGTTTTAGATCTGCATACTCTCAGTTAATTGCTGGTCACCCAGCTCATGACATTTGTCTTGTTTGTTTTATGTTTCATTCAGTGATATCCTGCCCCTTACCCAGCCCACCTTCCAATGGTTCAATTGTTAGCAGTTCTGCTTCTCCTAATGGTGTGACCTACTTTGCATGCAACAAAGGTTATAAACTGACGGGCAACAGTGTCACTGTATGTTTGACGAATGGAAATTTATCAAACTCTGCGCCAACATGTGCAAGTAAGGCTTCTGTAGAGTGATAAATAATACTCAAATAATTAAATCATGTTACAAAGTAGTGGTAGGCACTTTGGCAAGAGTAACAAGAAGACTGTTTCTTGCAACAGTCGATTTTATTCTTTTCCCGTCAGCTTGACTAGCCACTTGACCGACTCATGACTGCATTCTAGCGCACAAGAGAAGTCCATTCAACCCTCGACTTGTGAAGACTTCAATAGATCGCCACATGGAATACAAATTCAAACAAATAAACATACTTGCAATAAAGAAATGCAACCGGAACAGTCCAGTCCCCGAGGAGAACAAGAACAACAAATCGCGTCTCGCTCCTTCTTTTTTTTGTCTTTAGTCACTTTCTTATGTTGACTCATTATAAACTTACTTCCTCCGTATACAAAAACTTCGTGACTTTTCTTCAACGGTGTTTTTGAGCAAGAACCTGCTCAACGAACCTCGCCAAAGGCTGTCATCGACCACCCACATTCATGTTGAGGTAGGTTTGGTTGATCCGGAACAGATTCTCCACCGAAGCCATGCGTGTGAGGACGTTGCCGACAGGAACTCACAAGTCAAATGAAGACAAACTAACACTTACTTGCTCGAAACTGACACGGTGACGAAGTGGAGCTTGCGGCTGGAACACGGAGTCCCCTTTCTTCTAATATTTTGACTAGAACCCTGGTGTACTGCCTAGCTATAAACAGTAATCTACCATATTCTCACACACAGTGGCATAGTGAGGGAAAATCTTACTTTCAATGTGAGATCCCTACCTGTAGGAATATGCATTTTAAAGATGTTTTAGAGCTGCATACTCTCAGTTAATTGCCGGTCACCCAGCTCAGGAAATTTGTCTTGTTTTTTTTATGTTTCATTCAGTGATATCCTGCCCTTTACCCAGCCCACCTTCCAATGGTTCAATTGTTAGCAGTTCTACTTCTCCTAATGGTGTGACCGTCTTTGCCTGCAATAAAGGTTATAAACTGACGGGCAACAGTGTCACTGTATGTTTGACGAATGGAAATTTATCAAACTCTGCGCCAACATGTGCAAGTAAGGCTTCTGTAGAGTGATAAATAATACTCAAATAATTAAATCATGTTACGAAGTAATGGTAGGCACTTTGGCAATAGTAACAAGAAGACTGTTTCTTGCAACAGTCGATTTTATTCTTTTCCCGTCAGCTTGACTAACCACTTGACCGACTCATGACTGCATTCTAGCGCACAAGAGAAGTCCATTCAACCCTTGACTTGTGAAGACTTCAATAAATCGCCACGTGGAATACAAATTCAAACAAATAAACATACTTGCAATAAGGAAATGCAACCAGAACAGTCCAGTCCCCGAGGAGAACAAGAACAGCAACTCGCGTCTCACTCCTTCTTTGTTTTGTCTTTAGTCACTTTCTTATGTTGACTCATTATAAACTTACTTCCTCCGTATACAAAAACTTAGTGACTTTTCTTCAACGGTGTTTTTGAGCAAGAACCTGCTCAACGAACCACGGCAAAGGCTGTCATCGACCACCCACATTCATGTTGAGGTAGGTTTGGTTGATCCGGAACAGATTCTCCACCGAAGCCATGCGTGTGAGGACGTTGCCGACAGGAACTCACGAGTCAAATGAAGAAAAACTAACACTTACTTGCTCGAAACTGACATGGTGACGAAGGGGAGCTCGCGGCTGGAACACGGAGTCACGCAGCATTCGCTGCCCTGAAACTGGCCAGGCTCGTACTTGTGGTGCGCGGCCCCCATATGGAACGTGAGAACATAAATCGGTTCCGCTCCCACGGCAAGATGAAACATTTCAGTCGTCGTGCAACCAGCGCTGACTCCGGATTGGAGTGCCGACGACCTGGCTTTCTTTGCCTCTCTCCAGTCAGACGTCTCCGTCGTCGTCTAGGGGAATCGCAGGGACCTCCTCGAAGCCGTTGTAGAATGCTGGGAGGATTATCCTGCCGAGAAAATGCGAAGCGTGTGGGTGTGCTTGAGCGACTCGTTTCACGACATAATGGAGGTCGCGGGTTGGACCGACTGAATATAGTCGACACCGATTCGTACACAGCTTTGGAGGTGAAGATGACGTAGCCAAAGTCCCGCGTCAGATCATCACTGCAGCTGAAAAGAATCTGAACGAGTGGGAGCGGAAGCAGCGACTGTTGGCGATGCGGCATCAGCGTCGTCAGGTGACAATGACAGGAGCGACGAAGACTCTGAATGAACTCAATCTCATTCGTCTGAGTTGCTTTTTTCTTTGTATATAGCTGAGTGGGCTCAGAATGCGCGCTTTGGACAAGCAATCATGGAGGGAACTCTCAGCCTGAGCTGGTTTTGCTCGCGGCTGCAACGCACGGGGTGGTGAACCCAGGACCGAAGCGGACCAGGCATCATGACTTTGCACATCTATCGTTATGCTGCTTCATTACGCGACCTGTTTTATTATTATTATTATTAGGCCACACCAAGTTTTTTCATTGTTTCTCGTCACCGCGCGCGTACCTTTCTTGAGGATTGGACCAAAAAAAAATCTCGCGTCCCGGTAAACACGCATAAAAAGGCGTTGTAAAAGTACGCGCGGCGTCAAATCTAGAGTGCAGTGCTAGTGCACGAACCGAAGGACGACTTTTGCACCGTGTATGTACGCATACCGGTAGTTCAAGTACCACACCACCACACGACCTGGTCGTCTTCTTTGCTACACACAGTTCCGGTACAAGTCAAGACAGTGCATGACAGTGCACCGTTTTGGACTGACAGTGTTCCGGGCATCGGTAAACTTGTAAACTGTCACGCGTGGTGTATAGTCTGATTTTAGGTCATAAATTGGGCCTTTGTAGTGTAAATAGCAGTTTTTGTTTTTCAAACCCTATTTTGTTTTTTTTCCGCCCGCCCGCGTTCCTTTTGAGATTTTCAGGTGACGAGAAACAATGAAATAACTTGGTGTGGCCTTATTATTATTATTATATAGCTTGTAAACAGGTTAGACAATGCCACGAGTGTTATTCCAAGTTAAACGAAACAATTCCAGAGCTGTGCGCAGCCTTAAAAAAAAGTCACGAAGTTTTGTATACGGAGGAAGTAGGATTAATTTTGATGCATACATGGCACTGTGACCCCGAGACTCATGGTCGGTAGAGTCCATGTATTTCGTCAGCACAGCTGGCATTGTGGATAGCGCCTACCCAGGCCAATGTACTAGTACTTTTTGTCTTTCGATATGATCAAGAGTACATTATAGCAATAAAAACTGCTTCATGGCAGTTTTCTAAAAAAAGTTATTGTGTTCTAGTCCATGGACCACGTCTAAAAAGTAAGAAATTAACGAAATGTGATAGCCGAAAATTAAAATTTCACACAAAACCTCACAATAATCACAACACTTGAAATGCTGCTTTCAACACTAAACTTGTACTGCACCAACAATTGGCAACATGCATGTCATGCATGCATAGGAAAGAGGATCACGAGGGGAAAAGGTCTTCTACATGTAGCTTTTCATTCTGTGTGTGATTATTGTGAGGTTTTGTGTGAAATTTTAATTTTCGGCTATCACATTTCGTTAATTTCTTACTTTTTAGACGTGGTCCATGGACTAGAACACAATAACTTTTTTTAGAAAACTGCCATGAAGCAGTTTTTATTGCTATAATTTCTTTTGTTTTTTCTGTCACCAATCAATGGAATGCCCTATACTATATCAATATGTAAATTTAAACTAAATGATGGCCTTCACATCATATCAAGACTCTTGTACAGATTATCGCCCATTTGTTCGTTCATGCTTAACCTTTCTAGGGGCTCCCGTAAGAAGACCATAGGTCTGTGGGAAACACCCTAGTAAAATAAATAAAATAATAATAATAATAATAATAGAGTACATAAACGGTTTATGTACTCTTGATCATATCAATACCGTATTATACGCCTTGATGTGCAAGCCTTTTCTTGCAGAAAATGGCATAGCATGTTCTTCTACGGGAAACATGTGAGTACGTAGTGGTGGACCGCCGTGATACTTTTTTTATACGGAGGTCATTCTGTGCATGTTGCTGTAGCAGAATTTCATGACTGTCTTAGGGGCCGTCCGTAAATATCGAACTTTTTTCACCAAACGAATTATTTTAGTTTAGACTCAACCCCTCCCTCCCTCCCCCTCAGAACGTAAAAAATGTTGACATACATGCATATACAACAGCCATGTACATGAATCAATGTTTTCTGAAACGAAATTGGTCAACCCCCTCCCACCCCATAACGAAATTATTTCGTTTTGTGAAAAATGTTCGATATTTACGGACGGCCCCTTAATCGTCTTGCCTTTCAGATATTTCAGATTTCCCCACCCTCGATCAGATTTATTTGAGAAATGTAACCAGGTGCGTGTCGCAGATGTTTTTTGTTGATTCTGTGTTTAAAATGGTTTGTAATCATGGGTTTTCGTGATAAGGTCATCCTGCATCATATTGCACTGAAATCGTAATCCTGTTGATGTCGATAGAACTTTTGGAAGTAGTTCAATGACTTCAAACTGTTAGTCCACGATATTTTAAAACAACACAGCAAAGGAGGGACAATAAACATGTATTAAAATGTAAACAAAATACACTGTACATTGCTGAGTCCGACACCTCGTTCCAACAACTACACTGATCCTGAGGATAAAAGGGGCAAGGCTATGGTTGGAGGTACTGAGAGATAAACAAGGCACTCCATAATAATAAAATCTTACACATCTTTTGGTGAGTATGAATGATATCCAGTCGAACCTCTTTAGGACGAACACCAAGGGACCGATGGTATTAACTCTGTGAGTTTGTCTTAACCTATTTATAACCAGTGAATACAATTATTTCTCCAATAGACATACGAATAGATTTCTTCTACAGCGAAAGATTCTAAGCCACACCAACTCATTGACTCGTCTCGTATGAACCTGTGACAAATGAGTCGTAGAGAGGTTCTGCAAAACGAAAATGCGTACAAACTTTCGTTCTACTTCATGAAGTGCGAAACTTCGCACGAACTTTCGCAACTTTGGACACGAAACTTGCAGGGAACGCGAAATTAACTGTCGTAGGAAAATTCGTGAGATCGGGTCATGGCGTACGTGCACTTGGCCCGCGCAAACTACGAAATGTGCAGAACGCAAAATTCGTACACACTTTCGCAAGGACTGTCGCGAAACTTCATTCGAATTTTCGTTTTGCAGAACCTCTCTACTGAACCTTTCTTCAGAAACATGACGGCAACTGAAACAGCAACAGAGAAAGTACGATACATGTGCAGCACATTCTTGCAGGTACATGTACTACAAACAGATTGCAGATCGTAATTCTTGCTTTGGCGGCACGAAACTTTATTTGGGGCAGTGCAATCTCGGCGGTACTCACAAATCAAACAGCCCAGACTCGAGTAAACAAATCCAATCATACAAGTACGAGATCTTCACGAGACGAGACTGCACCCATTGGCTTGTTTCGTATGAAGCAAACAAGTTTACTGAACCTATCCAGAATGGAGATTTTCCCTGATATGCGAATTTATTTTGCAAATTCGGTCAATGGGTCCTTGAACCTTTCCCTCCAGATTGGGAACTGCCAACGATAGTATGCCACTGACCAGTGCCTTACTTGTAACGTACCAATGTACAATGAATACGAGTATTTCGACAACACATCTAACATACCGGTAAGCCTTACCGTCAAGAAGGTGAACTCGCGTTCTTCGTACACTGTAGACAAGGGCAAAGAGATAAAAATGGATCTAAATCCGAATAAAATCAGCACACGTTTCCGTAAATGAAAGGGTGAGCATAAGCAAATGAATCGAAGGAAACCGGTCAACTCAGAGATCACCTGTCATTGAATATTCCATAAAAGGAGGCCTCGACAGCAGAAAAGCTCACCTGTCATCGAGTATTCCGTAAAAGGAGGCCTCGGCAGCGGAAAAGCTAAATAATTTAGAAAAGAGATCCTGTCAGCTTTTCCATTATTTATTGCATTCCGCCCAAAATCAGCACACTTTTCGTAAATGAAAGAGTGAACACAAGCAAATGAATCAAAGGGAACTGGTCAACTCACCTGTCAGTAATATTCCGCGAAAGGAGGTCTCAGCAGCACCGAAACGAAATAAGCCAGGCCAGGAGTCGAAATATCCGAAACAGCTCATACAAGAAGCAGTTCCAAAGAAGGAAGTTAGTTCCTTGCGCATGTACATCCGGCCGAACACGGACTGCACTGCAACACAATGTCTGCCGTGCACGTGCACAGCACGCGGCTACCACCCGCTGGTAGATCTAATACCGAGCACCTTACGTAGAGACTTACGTAGCCTAAGTGAAATACCGAGCACCTTACGTAGAAAGTTACGTAGCATAGCGGTGTCGTTTTTCTTGCCATGTGAACACAATAATAGAAAAGCTGACAGGATCGCTTTTCTAAATAACCCCAAGAGTGTGCAACTCCAGCTATGGGGTCTGCGACGGCAGAACTTCACATCACGTATTAAACTGTGCACTCTGTGCATGATAGACACTGGGTTGTACGCAGCCCAGCTTTGGGTACAACTCTCTTGTGGTCACTTTGCACTGTTTGCCAGCATAACCTGTTGAACCATGTCACGTGATGTGAAGTTCTGCCGTCGCAGCACAGCATAGAGGTTGTGCAGGCAGTTGCACACTGTTGGGGTTATGTACTCTTGATATGATTTGTAGGTTTGTGTTCTCTTTAAAAAATTAAAAAAATTAAAATCTCCACTTCGTACTTTTCTCGACGACTTTTTCAAAAAAAGCTGTGGTCATGTTTTAGCGCGCTCTGGCTCCGATTCTACTGGTTCATAGTTTACTGAAGCAAAGCTCTCTTTACGCTGCGGTGTGAGATGCACTTTCGAACAGTTTCTGTAATAGTCCTTGAGTCAAGTGCATACAGGCCAGCAGATCTTGCAAAAAAGCGGGGGGGGGGGGGGTTGCAGCGGACTTTATTGTACTGTGCAATTACAAGACAAACTTTCTTGATTGCTATTCTTTGACCCTTAACAACTTGTTATTTTTTTTCAAATCTGTCAACCTCTCAGGAGTCTCTTGTTCATTTTTGGCACCTCCACAAAATGGTTCAGTCTCGCCCGGAGAAAACAGTTTCGAAGCAACTAGAAACTTCACTTGTAATGAAGGATTCAAATTGGTTGGTTTTGCCACAATCACATGTCTTCTGCAAGGTGTTTGGTCTGCACCTCAGCCAACTTGCCAACGTAAGTGTCATGTAGTGCAAAGTAGCTGTGTGTGTGTGTGTGTGTGTGTGTGTGTGTGTGTGTGTGTGTGTGTGTGTGTGTGTGTGTGTGTGTGTGCGTGTGTGTGTGTGTGTGTGTGTGTGTGTGTGTGTGTGTGCTGTTTCACTTTGAAACTGTCCTCCAACGTAACCAGATCTTATACAGTCAGTGAGTTCGACAAAATGGCACAAAACTGACGAGGAGTACTGAGATATTGGGCGACCTGACAACTTGCTCCAACACTTCTCCAAGGCTCAAAATAACAACCTTCCAACTTGGAAGTCCAAGAGGGGAAAAGGGACAAGAGGGACATTTTATCCTTCTCCTTTTTCACAATAATTTAATTGGCTCACCATCCGAGTTCAACTGTGTACTTGGTCCGCCCAGTTAAAACTGCCGCTTATCTTCACACTTGTCTCAGGAAAGCACTATGTATGTGATTATTAATATGTCAGTAAGCAACTCATCCGAAAATTCAAGCAAGTTACACTTCCTCCTCGCCACTATCGTCGCTGGAGGAAGAGCTCAAACCTTTCGATCCGGACAGCTGGTGCACGTTTCATAGATTGTTCCATTTCTCCTCGTCTCCAATCACGCTGAAAGGCAGTGCGTGCCTGTCACCTTGCCGATCAGAAGCTGAGTGAGACTGCCAGCATGTTGGCTGTAAGTGTTATCCCCGTTCGTCGCAATGATGCAACTTTGTTTGAAACAAAAAGGCAACACCACATCAGTGTCCTTTTTCAAAATCGCCTCTTGCGCTTGTCGTACTTGCTGATCAGCACCCACGCGAGCCGCTGGTGGTTGTACATGCAGCGCAGTGATAGCTTCTGCTTGATGTAGCACCTGTGCGTACTGCACCTAAATCCTAACGCCCTGCGCCAGGCTTTTCGGCTAGTTTAGTGAAAGTCCTTTGCACGAGAGTTTCACTCAGGACTTAGTCACGGTACATTTGATTAGCTCCTTTGCCCGGTCCCCTGTGAGCTTCAAAGTGTGTCTGCCAGATTCGTCTCACTTTCTGGAGATGTCGACATGAGCTGTAGTTTCTTCGTCAGCAATTTGCTGGTGATAACTCTTCACTAGGCGCTGTACTGTGCCAGCAGGGAAATTCAAGCTCGCGAAGCGCTTTTCCAGCGTTTCTATACCTCTCGCGGTACACAATCCTTGCCACCAGACAGCTGGAAGTAGACAGAAACTGTATTCTCCATAGCTCTGAAACGCGAACATCCCGACCTATTTTACAGACTCGAGCAGACCTTGCAACTTTTTCTTGCGCTGACGGAAGTGTTTGTCGGTGGCAGCTCAGTCAAAAAGACTCAAACGAACCGATCGCAACTTCTGTGATGGTATGTGCTGCCATGTTGTCGGATGCAATGGTCAATGGCTATGTTCAGATGGTGAATCGGTGGTTCCATGCCGTATGACACAGGCAGAACCCCAAAAAGTCAAGTGCGAAGATAAGCGCAAATTTTAACTTTTGACGGACCAAGTACATTTTAATCAACTTATCATGCTAAAAATCTCTTCGCTTACTAAACATCTTTTTGGTATAATTATTATTTTTTGTACTTTTAAATAACATTTCCTCATGCCTAGTTTCTTGGTGAAATCGAGGTAGTTTTCCCTGCAATAACAGAATGGAGAGGGTGTATAAATGTATTTCTTCTTCTATTTCTCTAATTTTTTAACAACAGATGCGTTAGCCCCAGGGGTGACCTCACCTATGGGGTACATGGGAGCTGTTAATTTTAATATTATTATTTCAACTTGATATGAACACTACAATCTTCTAGGTGTTATTGTTCCTCTGTGACATCCATGGACACACTCCACCTTTGCTGTCATTCTGTTCTTCTTTGTGTTTAGCTATAGAAACATGCCCAGCCCTGCGGTTTGAGAACGGAATTACTCCCGCAACCAACACTAGAGTTGGTAATGCAGTCAAAGTTGAATGCGATATTGGATACCAAATCAACGGTAGTAGCTCCATTATCTGTCTCTCGAACGGACAATGGTCAGACACTCCACATTGTACTGGTAGGTGTAAAATCTAATGTTAGAAGGTTTGCGTACACTGATCACAACATGTTTACAGATGTTTTGAAATTTTAGTATAACGAGGGGAAAGAATCAAAGCTAATAGGGGAGTATTTCCTTGAATTCCCCTCCTGATTACCCGTCGATTGCTTTATTGAGTTTTCAGAGATTTGACTCTAGCTTTCTTCTAGGCTTTGTCCATTTGGCAAAGCATGAGTTTTCTGGGGAGATGACACAACAACCTACCTACGTAGGGGTTTGAAAACGCATGGTTGAGTTAGACTTTGGGGTTGTGTGGTGCCTGTAGCGTAACTCTCTCCCTCCCCCCTTCCTCCCGTTCCCATGACCAAACATGTACGGCCCAGTATCTGCAAAATGGACCTTAGGGTGATTTTTCACAAAAAGACTTTTTCTGCTTTTGTCATCTATAGGTATCTAGTGATCACATGGCGAAGTATTAGACCGAACAAAGCAATGTTGATGACCCAGAAGCTTCTCAAACAAGTCTAGGTACATATAAGAAAATACAACAATTTATCACAGCGTTTTCCACATCAGAATACTAGTACTATGCGTTACAAAAGGCCGTGCAATTAATCAGCCGTCCAGTTTTTGTTGTATAACTCTCGCATAACTTCTGGCATAGAGCATGGATGGTCTTGATCCTCATCACTGCAGACGGCAATGGAAACTGCTTGAACACCATCCCAAGTCTGCTGATAATCCGCAGAAGTCCAGAACAGGAAGGAGGGTGGCTACAAATACACCTGGAGTCCCGGTCTGTGCATCCCACAGGGAATATGACACAGGCACAAAATTCTAACACCACACACTTCATATCGTACACGATTCAGAGGTAGTCCATCATTGTTCTGCTGCACCTCTGTGAAATTTGAGCTCTGTGGGAAACTGGCAGCATGCGCGTCAGTGCGCCATGATTCCAGCACTGAGCGCAAAGAGTTCATAGCTCATCAATCACAAGTACTTGTGTCAGCTCTTGCCCCGTCCTAGGGTTTTGGTGTTCCTCGCGGAGTCAGGGCGGCAGATCATGTCACTAGCGGCAGAGCTCTATCGTCCGTACTCGAGTTAATCCAGGACATTTCAGTTCAACTGCCTCTGTTGCCGTCGCCTCACTAGTTTCTCCTCGTTGAGTATTTCCCCCCTGCGGAGTTGTACTAAAATCAGAAGGGCCCCACGAGGATTTCCAGATGTCAGAAAGTACTTTCACCAGCAGAGATCTCCTTTGGTGGAGCGCCTAAATCAAGTTGAATTTTTCGTCGCTAAGTAGGAATTGGGCGTCGACAAAAATATCTTGTAAGGACTGTCGTCGTTCTCTACCAGACACGACGATTCCTACCTAGGAAGTCCAATAACTTCTGGCAGAGATGGACGGCAGTTGGCCATCTTGAGCGAAAGCTCCTACTACACTTGTAGGACGATCTAAAGCTTTCTTTGTCGCAATGAACTAATTTTTGTTTGGATGTGCACAGCGAAGCAACAGTATTTTTGCCGTGGCAGAAAATGACTTTTTCTGCAAAAAATGATTTTCACCCGAAGGTCGATTCTCGCTGATACTGGGCCTATTACGAGGATTATCAGTAAAGGTCCCAAAATTCTGGCCTGTTTTCTGTCACAATTATCTGCCAAGGCATGCCATTGTTCTACAATTCTGTGTTGTGACGCAGTGACAGTTTAGTGACAGAACCTCATCATCTTCTTTTCATATTCCAATCGCATCTCACACCTCTCTTCCTGGCCTTATCTTTTGTTATGTTTTTTGAACACCTGTCTCTCTCTCTCTCTCTCTCTCTCTCTCCTCTCTCTCTCTCTCTCTCTCTCTCTCTCTCTCTCTCTCTCTCTCTCTCTCTCTCTCTCTCTCTCTCTCTCTCTCTCTCTCTCTCTCTCTCTCTCTCTTTGTGCATGTGTATGTTTGTGTTTGTCTCTAAGTGTATGTGTGTGTGTGTGCACATGTGTGTGCGTGTGTGTGTGGGGGGGGGGGGTGTGCGGGCATGTGTGAGTGTGTGCGGGCGTGTGTGGGTGTGGGTGCATGTGTGCACGTGTGCGCATATGTGTGTTCTATTTGCATTCTGATTTCTTGCTGTGCAACGGATTAGGTAGTCCAACGGCTGCTGCCCTGACGGAGACTACCTGGCTTGGACAATCAAGCAGTCGGGCCATGATTATAGTGGTTTCAATGCTCAGTTTGATTTTGTTATCCGTGCTCATTGCCTGGGGAATAAGTTCATCAAATCCTAAGAATGTACTCACCACCTTCACTGCTCATCGGCCCAAAGAAAACACCCATCCATACCAAAATCGATATAAGGCGGCCAACTCCTCTCTCGCCCTGATAACTGACACAAAAAACGTTGCGGAGAGTGAAGACACCTCCAACAATGAACAGACTGATAATACATACGGGGAAGTACCGCAATACCAAAATCAATATAAAGTGTCCAACTTCTCTCTCTCCCGGACCACTGAACCAAAACAAGTTTTCGCTAGGGAAGACAACTGCGACAATGAACAACCTGATAGGACATACGGGGAAGTACCGCGATACCAAAATCAATATAAGGTGGCCAACTTCTCTGTCTCCCCGATCACTGACACAAACAGCGTTGTTGATTGTGAAGACACCTACGACAATGACCAGCCTGATAGGACGTACGAATCGGAAGTACTTCGATACCAAAATCAATCTAAGGTGGCCAACTTCTCTGTCTCCCCGATCGCTGACACAAACAGCGTTGTAGGTTGTGAAGACACCTATGACAATGACCAGCCCGATAGGACATACGATTCGGAAGCACTTCGATACCAAAATAAATTGAAGATGGCCAGCTCCTCTGTCTTCCAGATTACTGACACAAACAGAGTTGCGGATAGTGAAGACATCTACGACAACGACGAACCAGATAGGACGTACGAATCGAAAGTAGAGCATAAAAGAGTGGATTCCTCAAACGTCGCAGAACGGAGCGAAACACCGACCATGTTGTATGCTGAGATGTGCGCTGCCCGAGAAGGAAAGGAGGTCGAGAAGCAGGTGTCAGCCCATAGTCTGGGCGATGCTTTCTCGGAATCGGGAGCAGACAAGTCTTGTGTTGTTTCTCCCACCATCAATGACAACGCTCTTTATCAGGCACTAGGGGACTTGTTTGCAGAATCTGACGATCAATTGTACTCGGCCCCAGGAGGCTTGATGGAGGAACATTATGCTGGAGTTCACCATACACCAGTGGACAAGTCAGATGAATCTGAAAGCTCACCAACCACAATTTCCATGGTGAACGATGACTAGGAACTGCTCCCAGGATGATGCACCCTTTCTACCTATCACGTTTTACCCGTGTTTGACGTCATTAATTTTAGCATACATGCACCAGTGCAGCCATGTATGAGATGAACCCTGTTTTTTTTTACAGCATGTACCAGTATAGTGTTAGCTGTAGTCCGCTCCTATCCCGTGATGCCTGGTATACATAATATGATGTATACTTGTATTTAAATTTGCCTCCCAGAATCTGGCCGAGTCTCACGCAACCACAATTTGTTGGATTTTTTAATGTACATTTTTAACCCTCATTCACTCATTCATTCACTCATTCACTCTTACTTGCACCTTTGACAGTACAACTGGCACTATCTGTTTCACGAAAATTTGCCTCCTAGACCCTAGCCGAATCTCACGCAAACCACAATTTGTTGGATTTTTTAATGTACATTTTTAACCCTCATTCCGGTTTGTGGGGTCCGAACGGACCCCAGGGGTATGATTTTGAAATAATTTTACTTTGCTGCATCACATCTCCCTGAAAATTCATGTATTCCTCTACAACACAATAACCGAGATAAATAAACAGTCTGGGTTAGAGGTTCATGATGGATTTCACTTTTATTATGGAAAATGCGGGCGGGGTCCAAATTGACCCCAGTTACATAGAACACAGAAAGTGTAACAATTGCGATAGTTTTGGTATTTATCTCCATGGTCACCGAATACATGGATGACATCCACTGAAGTATGAGGCCCTGCAAGAAAATGTTCTTCTACAGCCATAATACCTCATTCCATGCTGACGTTTTTCCTACGTTCCCAGTATATTGGGGTCCCTTTGGACCCCACGAACGTTTTGGGTGGTATTCGTGTAAACTTAATAATCTGGACAAACCTCTGAGTTGTCAACAACATTTAATGCAGTTTGGTCAAAGCATTGGTCTATGGGAAGGTAAAACAGCAAACAAATACATACACTCCAACAGCCTTCCAACTTGGAAGGTTCTAAGTTATAGCTAGGCCTTGACGGATTATGCTAGCATAATTTTTCGCATAATTCCTACCAAAATCGAATAATCCGCCTGTTCGCACCAAATTCCATAGAGGTGTCATGTTCTACAAGTACAAGTAGATACACCAGGAAGTCGTAGGTTTACGACTCCCTTGATAACATGTCCAGTGCATTACAATCAGTGATGGTCGTAGCTACAATTGTAGGTCGGACGGTGCGTTGGCCCCGTTGAACTTTTGCTACAGTACAACCCCCTATAAAATAAATCCCCTGCTATTTTGCACAGAACCATCATATATAATTATTAGCAGCATATTATGTGAGCATAATGCGGCATAATATGATAACATTTGGCATAAAAATAGCATAATTCT